GCTCACGTGTGCATGTATATTGGTGGACATTGCGTTGCTCTTTCTCCTCAACGAGCGAAGGCCTTAGCTCCCCTTTATGGTAAATGAGTCCACATTCGCACTTAATTCCATGCGAATTAGTACAGAGAAGCATGGTGAATAAGTCCGAATCTCTTTCTTACGGGCGACTTTATGGTCTTTGAGTGCTTAGCATGGTGAATAAGATTCGGACTTATTCACCATTACTTCAGCAATTGCACCAAAGATCAGATATAAAGTACCTATATCCTTGTATCCTTGTGGTTTGTGGAAAACAGCCATCTCTGTGCAAAATTTGTCATATCAGTTGGCTCACGTGTGCATGTATATTGGTGGACATTGCGTTGCTTTTCTCCTCAAAGAGCTGACCTTCCAGGAGTTAGCTCGCCGTTCTGTTGGTGTGTCGTTTTGTGTGTTTCTCTCTCTCTCTCTCTCTCTCTCTCTCTCTCTCTCTCTCTTTCTCACAGCAGATCACTAGGAGATAGAAGGCAGGTGATCTCTCCTACGTCCAGGTCAGCAGCTTCACAGCTATGGCGGCTGCTGTCGCGCCGGCGCCGGCTGAGACGGCAGCGGAGACGCAGCCTGTTCCTGTTAAGCGCGCACTCATCACGGGTATCACCGGGCAAGATGGGTCTTATTTGGCGGAATTTCTGCTGAGCAAGGGGTACGAAGTCCACGGGATAATTCGACGGTCGTCTAATTTCAATACCCAGAGAATTAATCACATCTATGTGGACCCCCATGCCGCTGGCGCCAGGCTGAAGCTTCATTATGGCGATTTGTCCGACAGCAATTCCTTGCGGAAGCTGATTGATGTAGTGAATCCCGACGAGGTGTACAATCTGGCGGCTATGTCCCACGTGGCAGTGTCTTTCGAGAATCCCGAGTACACGGGCGACGTGACAGGGACCGGAGCGCTGCGACTGCTGGAAGCCGTCCGATCTCATATCCGAACGACCGGTCGCAAGGTGAAGTACTACCAAGCCGGGTCGTCCGAGATGTACGGAGCCACCCCTCCCCCCCAGAGCGAGACCACCAAGTTCCATCCCCGTAGTCCTTACGCCGTCGCCAAGGTCGCTGCCCATTATTACACCGTTAATTACCGCGAAGCGTACGGGTTGTTCGCCTGTAATGGCATCTTGTTTAATCATGAAAGCCCGAGGAGAGGCGAGAATTTCGTCACTAGGAAAGTGACACGTGCCGTCGGGAGAATCAAGCATGGATTGCAGAAAAAACTCTATCTTGGTAATCTGAAAGCGTCGAGGGATTGGGGATTTGCAGGCGATTATGTGGAGGCGATGTGGTTGATGCTCCAGCAAGATGTGCCAGACGACTACGTCGTTGCGACAGAGGACTCGCACACTGTGGAAGAGCTTCTCGAAGAAGCGTTTAGCTATGTCGGACTCAATTGGAAGGAGCACGTGGAGATTGACCCCAAGTATTTCCGGCCTAGCGAAGTAGATAACCTGCGGGGAAGTGCAGCGAAAGCGCGGGCGAAGCTTGGATGGAAGCCGCGGGTTCATTTCAAGGAACTCGTGAAAATGATGGTCGAAAGCGATCTAGAGCTCGCGGCGCGAGAGAAGGTCCTCGTTGAGAATGGATTTCTTAATCTCACTATTTAAGTCGGAAAAAAAAAAGTCGGCGAAATCTGGGGAAGGAAAAGGGAAAGGGAATAGTAATTGTGTTGTTCTTCTCGAGAAGCTCGCCAAGGTGATGCCGAACAGAGAGCTTGCATCACGAACGAACGCGAGAGAGAGAGAGAGAGAGAGAGAGAGAGAGAGAGAGAGAGAGAATAATTGTGTTCTATTCGAGAATCTTGTCAAGGTGATGGCGAACGGAGAGCTAGAGCTTGCACCACGAGAGAGAGAGAGAGAGAGAGAGAGAGAGAGAGAGAGAGAGAGAGAGAGAGAGAGAGAGAGAGAGAGAGAGAGAGAGAGAGAGAGAGNAGAGAGAGAGAGAGAGAGAGAGAGAGAGAGAGAGAGAGAGAGAGAGAGAGAGAGAGAGAGAGGAGTTTAAGGAGAACTACTTTTGCGAGGATTGTTGTTGAATAATTGGGGAAAGAGATGCATTCTCTTTTTCCAAGGACTAGGCCGACCCTCTACACGATGACGAGTGGCAAGAGGAGAGTGTGAGCTGATGTCCTTCATCATCGCTTGGCCAGTCCGAGGTCTTGCTTGCATTCTTGACCATGGTTAGACTGGTGGCTGAACGTGTACGTGCGGACTCAGTAAACCACAGTTGCCGCCCGTTATCCTCCATCGTCAGCTTACCGTTATCCACCGTCAACCACCGTTATGATCCACAGTGACTCCTAGTTATCCACCGTTATCCACCGTCAACCACCGTTACGATTCACAGTGACTCGTAGTTATCCACAGGTATGCACACTTGCCTTGTCCGCAGTTGTCCCACCGTTATTCATTTTTAACCACTCCACCGTTATCCACCGTTATCCACCGTTATCAAAAGGCATTCCGAGCGTGCGACGAAGGTTTTCAATGAGCCGCGACGAGCTTCTTTCTCGTATCCACTCAACCGTTATTTACCGTTATCCACCGTTATCCACCGTTATCGAAAGTCATTTCGAGCGTGCGACTAAGGTTTTCAATAAGCCATGACGAGCTTCTCGTCCTTTTTTTTTTTTTTGAAGTTTCTCTTTTCTAATTCTTTTTCCGATAATGAAAGGGTACTTTTTTCTCTTTTTGTGCTCCCACAATTTGGTGGAATTCCCGTCAGGCACGCAGGATGACATCTTTACTTTGTCCACCGTGCAATTCTTTTTTTTTTTTTTTTGACCACCGTTCCATTTTTTTCAATATGTTTCTATTTTTTTTTTTGGTCCCACAATTAGGGGGCGTAATGTAATTGCTTTTGATTTCCAATGTCTTATCTTTACCCACAGTTCTGTGGAATGTCCATTTTTTTTTTTTAAATTTTTTCTTGCCCCTACAAAAAAAAAAAATCTTCGAGTTTGAGTGAGGTTTCCCTCTGAAGGTATCATCTTTTGGAAATTCAGTCTTTCTTTTTTTTCACGAGATTCAGTTGTTCCTTGGACAAGTGAAACTGAGGTTGGCTTCTGTTGCTCTGCTTTGTTTTTTTTTTTGTTTTTATTATTATTATTATTTAAAAATGCCAGATTTATCAGCAAATCAGCAATTTATGATAATTTTCATGGATACCCCCACCTACACTAGTAATTGTGGAATTGGTGCTCCAGTGCCTTTTGGCCGTCTTCTGTCTGTGTTCAAAGTCCACTTTGCTGTGTTGCCCAGTCTGATTCAGGGCATACTCACGCGAGGCCCTCGAAATTGCAAAATTGCGATATGAGCGGGGCAAATAGAGTGCATGCGAATGAACGGAGGACTCTATCTGGCTGCTCATTTTGCCCTTTTGTACTTTCGAGGGCTTAACGTGAGTACGCCCGTAGACGTGCAAATTGTTGTATTGTCTGCTGACATCCATGTGTGCAAATTGCTTGGTTGTCCCTCTGCAATGGATGTACAAATTGCTGTGTTGTTTGTCTGACATCGCTTTGCACATCATTGCTGTGATGCCTGTCTGAAAAAAAGATGTGCAAATTGCCGATGGTTGGTTGGTCGTGAGTCACTGTGAAAGTAACAATCGTCAGATTCTTACTGTCTGCAAATATGCCACTTTGCTGTGTTGTCCATCCGACATCGATGTGCAAATTGTTGTTTTGTCTGTCTGACATCGATGTGCAATTGCCAAATTGCTGTTTTCTCCTTCTGACATAGTTGTGCAAATTGTTGATGCTCCCCACGAATAAGATCGGAACTTTTTTTTGCAAAAGAAATTGAACCATTGGTCCACTTCTCGATTTATGCGAGTCATCTTTGTGCAGGGGCCATGCTAATCTTCCTTCTCTGTATCATTCCAATTATAACGGATGTCTCGAAGGACATTATAGATATTGGAGCTTTGTTCTCAAAAGAAAGAAAAAAATTGCTGCGATGTCTGTCTGAAGTATATGTGCAAATTGCAGTGGGCAAGCTGTGAAAGTAACAATTGTCGTCAGATTCTTACTGTCTGCAGATGCGGCTTCGCTGTGTTGTTTGTCTGCAAATGCCGCTGTGTTGTGTTGTATGTCCTCAAACGTCACTTTACTTTCTTCATCTCTGACATAGGGGCTCGTTAGACACTCCTCGGGCGTGTAAATCCCCTGAGGAAAATTGGAAATTTTCGTTCCACCTATCCTCGGGGATGAAAATCCCCCGAGGAAAATTGGAAAATTTCGTTCCACCTATCCTCGGGGATGAAAATTTCTTCGTCTCTGACATAGGGGCTCGTTAGAGACTCCTCGGGCGTGTAAATCCCCCTAGGAAAATTGGAAAATTTCGTTCCACCTATCCTCGGGGATGAAAACCAAAACAAAGAAGTGAGAACGTTTCCTTGGGGAATCCTTGGGGCGTCGTCGGGCTACAGCCATTTGGTGGCATCCCCCGAGGTCCCTTGGGGGTCAAGGATCCACGATAATCGGAGTGGCGAGGGCACCTGTCGTCGCATGAAATTTTCGGCGTCTGGTCCATTGGAGTTCCTACCGGACAGGGCATGGACATCTTGGGTCTGCAACGTTCAGCTTCCAGGAACCTTACGCCAATGGTAACCATTGGTGGCTGGCCGGCCCCTGCAGACGTCATTGACCAGTGTTCTCCATCGCAGTGCGTGCCGCTAAACGGAAAGGAGTCGAATGGTCGGCAAATTTGAATATTTCAGCCGACCCCCCTTGCTCCGATCGCCTACTGTATTCCGCAACGAAAAATGTTACGAGGTGTTGGTCCCATGCTGCGGTCTGCCGTTTGCAGCCCTTTTCGTCGCCGTTTGCTGGAGGTGTACCTTCGTCATCTAGCTACTGCCCTTTCCCACTTTCCTTTCATGGCAGACGCCTTTCGAAGGCTGCTGCTGCTGCTGCCGGTCATCCTTTTGCTTGTCTTGTCGTCTTCTTCCACGTCTGCATCCTCGGCAGGGTGCCTGAACGTACACGTAAGAGGTGGTCTGCGAAGAAGAATGTCTGCATGGCCGGGCGGCAGGCGAAAAGCAGGTCTTCAGTGGAACACTCCAGAAGCCACCGTGCAGGCCACGGCCCGACTCGCAGTGCAAGGGCGTACAACCTGTTAGAGTGCGTGAGTCGTATGCTGTCCTCTACCGTCTGCTCCCTTCATCGTCGCCGTTCACTGAACCTTCACCTTCGTCATAGAATTACGGGCCTATCATACATGTTGTTGATGGCCGACCTTTATTGAAGGTTGCCACTGCTGCTCCTAGTCACAATTTTGCTTGTCGTAGTCCTCCTGTTTCACGTGTGCTTCCTCTACCGTTGATGGTCGACCTCTATCGAAGGCCTCCAGCAGAGAAGACGAGAGATCGACAACGATTGCAGTCGACATCGACATCAGCAGCGCATCCCGCGGGCGTTCGTCCACACTGGATGCAATTGCCATCGCCTGAAAGACACGTGGCGACATACGCAGCGTCTCCCAGAAGTACTCCGTCGCATCATATCGTCTGAGATCGTCCCACGCCCCCCACGTCCTCCTTTTCATCCACCACCTCGGCGTCGCTCGTGGAAGAACACTGCAACCCATGGCGCAGCAAACCTGAACTGCAGCCTCGGTGATGGCCACGGTATCCAGCCCTTCGACCGGTACTTGATGAAGCGTCTTCCTCCTCCTTGCGCCGATCTGCGCTCTCATTCTGCCGAATGCCCTCTCCTGCAGACAACGAAAGAGCACGGCCGCCACGGCCGTCTTCTCGATCGTCGTCAACTTCACACGTCCACCATCGCTGCTGCCCTGCATCGGCATGTGTGTTGCAATGCTCATAGACCACGGAAATACAACAGCCTACCAACTCGCCACGACCACAGTAACCGCAGCGCCAAGTCCCCGACGACGTTCCCCGCGTGTGCTCGACTCGAGACATAGGCGCGGCGGCATGCAGAGGCGATGGTAATGGACCTTCGTGAGGCGCTCACAAATTTGTGACGATGTACGAGGACTCCACTGCACCGCTGCAAATGCCCGTTTCCACCGTCGGGGATATGAACGCCACCTGCCCAGCATCACCGTCGTGACGTCCAGCACCCAATTTGAAATTTGATTTTCGAACGGGGAGGTCCATTGCTTTTTAAGGTTTTTTTTTTTTCCCTGTCGTCAGCGCCTTTCAAAATTTCCCGCGTTCGGCAGCTGGATCACACCGTAGCAAGACGCCCCCCGCCCGTGCGGCTGACTATAATACTCTGAAAATGGCCGCCGGCAGCCGAAAGGAATCAGCCTTGGGAGACCACCCCAAGGATAGGTGGAATGACGCTGGGAATTTCCTTCAAAACCCCCAAGCAAACTTCCTTCGGCCCCGAGGACGCCCCAAGGAGTGTCTAACGAGCCCCTTAGACCAGGGGGGTTTCTTCGTATATTAGATTCTGGTTATTTCTTTTGTTGTGATGTGCTTAGTTAAACCACCAGTACCGTTCACAGCCATTTTGCCGTTTCGCGCCGGTTAACACTAGGCCGCACTCGGCCTCCGGCGGCGGCCAGATGCACTGCCAAAACTCGGCAGGGGGGTTTCTTGGCATATTAGACTGGGTTGTTATTTCTTTTGTTGTGATGTGCTTAGTTAAACCACCAGTACCGTTCGCAGCCATTTTGCCGTTTCGCACGGGTTAACACTTAGGCCGCACTCGGCCTCCGGCGGCGCCCAGACGCACCACCAAAACTTGGCAGGGGGGGTTCTTGGTTATTAGATTGGGTTGTTACTTCTTTTGTTGTAATGTGCTTAGTTCAACCACCAGTACTGTTCGCAGCCATTTTGCCATTTCGCGCCAGTTAACTCTTATTAGGCCGCAGCTGTGGCGGGCGCACATGACACGGGGCTGATAGCTGGGAAAGGTACTGTTTTTTTTTTTTTTTTTTTTTTTTTCGGTTTAATAGGATGCTTGTCATCTTCTTTCATTTTGGGTTTGTGTGGTTTTGAGGATTTGTGGTATAATCTTTTTCCGTTTTGGGTTTGTGTGGTTTTGAGGCCTTGTGGTACAATTTTATTTGACTAGGGTTGTGGAACAGTCAGGACAGCAGTCTTGTTTTGGTCATTCTGTCGCTGGACAAATCCCAAGGCCTACGCCGAAGCTGGGTAATGGTCCCAGAGTTTTCTCTTTTTTTTTTTTTTTTTTTTTTTTTAAAACACCCCCCGCCAGTGCTAGTGCTGCTGAATCAACAGTCACCACTAGCACCTGGAGGTAGGCTCCATCTATTGGTGGGGAGCTTCACCTGCTGGAAAACGGGTCCAGCGTCCCTTAAACAGCATGAGGATTTCCCAGCCTCAGTTGATTTTATAACAAAATGCTCCCCAGTTTTTTTTTTTCAATTAAAAATAAGAGCTTCGTTACCTATTTTTAATGATTTATTTTGCATTTTTTGGGGGGTAATGGTCCCAGTTTTTTTTTCAATTAAAAAGAAGAGCTTCTTTACCTCTTTTTAAGTTTTTATTACTTAACTTTTTAATGATTTATTTTGCATTTTTGGGGGGCGTTATACCACAAGTACACTGCCCAGGCAAACTTGAGAATCGAAGAAGAGTCCATGGGACCAATATGGTTGGCGGCGCCAGCCAAAAGAAGACAAACAAACATGGCGCTGGTGCTTCGGCAAAGCTTGGCACACGAGGAATCTGCCTCGGCAAAAAGA